TTGGTGGTCACAATCTTAACAACATAACAGATGCCGATGAGACAGTTGTTGATAGCAGACACAGGAAGAAAACTATAAGAAATCCTACAGAAGGTAGCGAAGGAAAGCGTGAAGAAAGGACTAACTATCCATTGCAAGAAGACAGAATGCATGTTTCTTAGCAGATAGAAAAGCTCAACATACAAATTACAAATTTGTGATTACAAAACTAAACAAGTACAACAATTTAAATATCTGGAAAGTGTTTTAACACAGGACAGAATGTGTGACACTGAAATCCGTAGGTGAATTGGGATAGCGAAAAATGCCTTTCAAAAGCTAAGCAAAATATTAATAAACATAAAATTTTTCTTAAAAACAAAGAGTACAGAACTGAAGTAGTATCATTCTTCTTATATGGAAGTTAATCTAGACTATCTCCTCACGTATGAAGAAGAAATTTGAAGCAACAGAAATGGGGTTCTACAGAAGGATGCTGAGAATACCATGGACCGAACATGTGAGCAACAAGGAATCTTTAGAGAAAATGGAAAGAAAAAGGAGACTTATAATTAACATCAGGATGAGAGCGTTGGAATTTCTAGAACACATAATGAGGAAAGTGGACTTGGAAAATCTGATACTCACAGTACAGATTTAAGGCAAGAGGGATAGAGCAAAACAACGCATAAATTACCTAGGGAGCTTGAGTAAATGGATGGCGGAACAAAGTTTAGGAGAGATAACAAAAAGACAAAATTTATTAACAGCTACAATAGATAGGAAATTGTGAAGAGCCATGACCACCAACTTCATGAAGGGACCCGGCACAAAGAAGAAGAAGAAAAAGAAGAAGAATCCTAAGGCTCTCAATATTATAGCACATTGTTTAATATTACTTAATATGATTGGCATGATTATTATTATTATTATTATTATTATTACGACTTATACGACACTGGTGATATCCAATACTTTTCGAAATATCATTGCTGTTGCGTGTAAGCACGTTTTTGTAATGGATATATTTCCAGATCATATCCAATATTTGCAAGAAAAATTTCCATGTTTTTGTACAACACCCCAGTGCTCTAATGATTACTGGTACTTTATTTTCTCCCAGTACTTCCAAAACTTTCGGAATTTTGTACTTTAAACCACTGTAGTTGTTCATCTTTTCTTTTCTTTACGTTCAATTCTCATGTCAAATGGACAGGAGACTTCTATCTGGTAGAAAATCTTTTTCTTTTTCTCCAGCAGGAATAAATCTGGCTTTTTGGATATTATTATTATTATTACATTTCTATTTCTGCTATGGTCACTACCCAACAAATCTGTGGGAAAACCTAAGGCACGTAGTTGTGTGTTGTTATGGTTACATTTCATGATTTGTTTTTCTAACTCCCATAACATCCCTAGCGTTGCATGCACAGTGTTCTTCCGAGACATTTTTGTATTTCTCTTAAGCTGGAATTTTCAGGGATTTTTTTCAATGTGTTGTCGTGTTTCTTTTTTTATCATTCCAAGCGCACCTATTATGATTGATACGATTCTTGTTTTCAATTTCCACACTTTTTTCTATTTCGATTTCTAGATCTTTATACTTCGATAGTTTTTTCAAATTACTTGGCTGCTATGCCCGCTGGGTAAACCATATCAATTAGTAGGCAAGTATTTTCTTTTCGGGTTTTGACAGTTATATCCGTCCTATTTGCTTCATTCTTCCTGATTATAGAATTGTGATGTATTGTATCTTTGTAATCGGTGCTGTGTGATGTTCATACCAGTTTTTGTTAACATCTTTTCCAACGTGTCCAGTGTAAATATTGTCCCACTCTATCGGGATAATTTTTATATTCATTTGACGCAAGTACAGAACATCTTGAGATTTGATGGTCTATGGTATCCTGATATTTGTCACAAAACCTATATTTTGGATCCATACTATTATCTATGAGATTTGCCTGAAAGTTCCAAGTGAACGGATGACTTTATTCTCGCAGCGCAAGAATAAAGCCATCCGTTTCAAACTTTAATCCAGATACTCGTAACCATCGATGAGTATTAACTTTATCGACATTGGAGTTGCCTCGTTCTGGATATTGGCCATGCAGAGGTTTGGCCTGACTGCGTTGTTTTATCTGTTCAAGAACTTTATTTTTGGCTTTCATATTTTCTTGCTGTAACAGTTGGTTCTTGGGTTCTGTTGTGGTTTTCTACAGAAACACATTTGTATTTCCAACCTTCTTTCATGATTGAATATTTTTTCTTTCTGTTTTCATCCAGTCGTTTGTTGTTTCTATGTATGTTAGTAAGCCAATAGTAGTTGTCTGTATGACAATTCTAGCCGAATAAGACCTCTTCTACCTTTACGAGATATGTATAGACGGTCTACATCAGCCTTTGGATGACGCACGTTATGCTTAGCAAGAAGCTTTCTTCTATTATAATCCAATCGTCTGATGTCCAGTTCAAATATATTAATAAGCTTCTTGCTCTAAATATTTGATTGTTTTCCCAGGATCTAAGCTAATAGAGGGAGTTTGTTATAGTGATCCTCGTAAAATTGTGGCTTAAGCACATTTATCCAAACCAAATCCCATTTCAATGTTCTCACTGAAACATTTTACTGTTTTCAAAAACTTCCAGCTCACTGTCATTACCAGCATACAATTTTAAGTCATCCATGTACAATAGATGGCTTATTTTCTCTTGAGATATTTTATAGCCATATTTCGACCTGTTAAATTCGCTGGTTAATGCTATTAGAGATAATGGCCAAAATAGTAACGAGTTACCTTGAATTATTCCTCTGTTGATGTTTATTTCACTAATAGATTCCATTTATATGATTGAGGTTGTTGTTTTTCATACTTTGTTTGATGAAATTTATGACGACAGGTGATACCTTGTATATATTTAAAGACTTTAAGACCAAGGAATGGGGTACTCTATCGAATACCTTACGGTAATCTATCCAAACACTACTGAGATTATTCTTTGTATTGAAGGTGGTTTTCAAGATCATACTATTAATAAGTAATTAATAAGTAATAAGTAAGTGGTTTTTACATCCGTAAGAGCCACGTTTTCTCCCGTTTTCTTCAAGAGGTAATATATCACTTTTTTCTAATAAGGAACATGTCTGTTTTGTCAGAATATGTCAATAGTTTGTAAGTAGTAATTGATCTGTAGGTTTTGGGAACATTTGTGTCACCATTCTTGTATAGAAAGAAGGGAATTCCTATGGTTGAGAATGTCTTGAAGTTCTTTTCTTTTTTGTGTACTGTATTTAGATAACAGCCAAAATTTAAGAATTTTATCTGTTCCTGGAAATTTCAAGTTGTGTGCTCTTTTCAGTGGACATTTAACATTCGTCTCATTTGATACCCGCCCACGTGAGCTGTACTCGTATTTCCTAAAGGCCTGGGTTACGAGGAATCCCATCAATGAGTCTATCGCAAGCTTTTTCAACCAATCCGTGGGATCCAACGAGAACTGAAATTATTGATGTTACCATATGCCACATTTTTTAGATTTCCATTTCAAAAACCTTGTATTTTGTTAGTTTTTTTTTAAAAATTTTTCAAAGAAACCTTATAATCTGCAAGGACTGCCATGTCAATAAGAAAACACATTCTGTTCATATGGTCTTTAATCACGATGTCTGGGCAATTAGCTTTGATTGTTCTGCTTGACTTTATTTTAAAATTGTTACCGGTCCTATCTATTTAATCGGATCTGGGTGATGTTCATAGCAGTTTCTTACAGTTTCCTTCCCGTAAAGGTTGTCATATTTTCCAGTGCAGATATTGGCCTACTCTATCATGACGACGTTTATATTCAATGGGTGCAAACACCGTGCAACCTGATAATTATTAATGAAATACTTAAAAAAATTAAGCGCAGTACTAGATTAGCAGCAAGATCGCATCATTTTATAGTTGAAATGGCTAACAGTTCTTGCATATTCTCACTTTGATCTTCAAAAATGTAAATACAGTGTCAATTGTTATCTTCTGCATTCATAATTCCTCTTCTTTTATTGCGTCGTATTAACTTTATTGCCTTGCTTCGGGTGAAATAAAAAAAAAAGACACCCCCCCTCAAAAAAACAAAAAACAAAAACAAAACAGAAAGGACAATTTTGTATTGTTTTTACTAAGTCTTCTTCACTCTTCTCATTATATTTTCTATTATTATTATTATTATTGATATAATAGACCAATTACGACTGAGTAGTGAGTTCGATCCTCACTGGGTGTTCTATAGTTCCACATCTAAGCCCAAATAATTTTGACACCTCGATGTTGTGTAATGGTCAGCAAGCTTATCTTGATAGATCACTTACTACCGAGTAGTGAGTTCGATCCTCACTGGGGGCTCCATTTGTACGTTTACTGTATGGCTATCATTATTGATATTAGGAATACCTAACTCTATCAGCAATTTATCTCATCATTCCAGTACGCTTTATATCATGTCAGTTATATTTTATTTCTTTCTTAAATTTACCTTATTATTAGGAATCTTTATTCTCTTATTAATATCTTCGTGGAAGCGTTATTGTTTAATCTCCATTCTAACACCCCTGTCTTTGAGAACATTGCATCTCAGATTCGGGCAAATTATACCACACTCTCCCTAACCAATCCTTACCCGTTGTGCTCCGCTACGAACTCCATGCCCCCTTATTAATTTCGGCTTCATATCCTTGAACGCCCCCAAGGGATAGATGCGACGAATTAGGCTTAACGAAGGAGAAACTAATTAAACAGTTCCAGCCATGTTTTTTTTTTTTTTTTTTTAATTTTGCGTTCTTTTTTTTATATATATTTTTCCTTTTTGATTCCTTTTTATAATCTTTTTTTTCTATTTTTGATTTATTTCCTGTTTTGTATTTTATGTTGTATGAAAATCAATAGCCTCGATACAGATTTTGTGAAGAAACGACCCAGCTTTTCTTTCATCTTCTCCTTTTTCTCTCTCTCTCGCTCTCTTATATACGTTTTATTTTTAAGACGCTCTCTCTCTCTCTCTGTCTTTCATTATTTGTCTCTATTTTTCTTATTTTAATCTTTCTTGTTGGTTTTCATCGTCTCGCTTCTTTAAATACTCTTTCTTTTTTCTCTCTTTTCGTAATACTTTTTTCTTTCTTTTATTTATTTATATTCCCAGTTGTCAATTTCTTTCGCAACGAATTTCCTCTAAATATGAAAGATTATTTGCTTGGATCCCAGTGAGGTTCTAAATTCCAACCAATAATCTAGGTGACTATTCAGCTGGTACACTTCATATCCACAAATCCAAGCTTAGTTTGGCACAATAGTACAAATTCGGGGTCCATGGAGACAAGGAATTGCCCTTAAGAGTTTTCAGTTACTTAAAATTTTAAATAAGGAAAATGCGCCCTTCTACAGGGTTCGAACCTGCGTCTCTCTCTTATGTAAGGAAAACTCACCGTATAGCTCGGCGTATGTTTAAACCACTCAGACATGAAGGACTTTCACACCCAAGCATGGCTCAATTACAGATATGTTATATTTTCTTTATTTAAGACTCTCGATATATATATATATATATATATATATATATATATATATATATATATATATATATATATATATATATATATATATATATATATATATATATATATATATATATATATATATATATATATATATATATATATATATATATATATATATATATATATATATGTGTCCAAGTGTTAGGTAGGTTAATAGCAATGTCCAAACATTATATTTAAAAAAGTGCTCAATATAGAGTAGAATATCTATTAACAATTATAACAAAAAATATAAATAAAACCGCTAATAATCATATATGTATATATATATATAAAACCGCTGTTAATAATTACACACACACACATATATATATATATATTTATTACATCGTTTTCCCATAAAATGGATGGAGTCGAATGATTACTGGGAAACTTTGAATAGGAAGGTACATCTTTGAATTTACTTACTATTAGTACTAGATTTCGTTATGAACACTTTTGGTTTAAAACAATCTTTGTCCTTATCATTATTATTAATATTAATAATAATAATAATAATAATAATATCTATCTATCTCTCTCTCTCTATATATATATATATATATGCAGATCTTCTTCTTCAGAATGTGGTCAAACGTAGCTCTCCATAACTTCTACCATCCGCCGTTCAGTGATCCATTCACAAAAGCTCGTCAGCTAGGGTACTCGATGTCTTCGCTTATTTCTTTTCCCCAATATGTCTTGTGGGGTTTAAATTTTCTTCTTCATTTTGTGTGCAAAAATTTCAGCTATCTCTTTTTAATTCTAACTGTTCTTTTTTTTTTTACCATTTTCGTTCAGATTACTTCGTTGCTTACTCCGTCCACCGGATTCTCAGTATTCTTCTGTAGAAACACATTTCTATTGCCTCCAGTAATTCTGGTCATCTATGGAGACATTTTCCAGCATTCTCTGCTATACAAAAGGATTGATATCACGTAGAAATTTCGTACTTTTTTTTAAATCTCTTAACAAAAGAATCTTGATTTATCTGCTGTTTTTCGGAGAAGGATTATATATGGGAGTCTTCAGTTAAAAAATGCTCCTTATTTGCTGGTGGGCGAACACAAACCGTAAACTTACGCTCTCGGCTCCAAATTAACTCGAAATTTTGTAGCGTTCACAATCTTCCATTGCTTCTCGAGTCGTCATAACAATTTTTATTTGAATTTTTTTGCGATTCAGCTTCACAAGGTCCATTCAAAGGGCAATATCCTCGTTTCTAAGGAGTTTTTAATAGGCTGCATCCGAGTCTCTCTTTTAGCCCTAAAGAGAAATAATGAACTGGCCACACCTGCTAACATTCACTCGACAGCAGATGCCACTTGATTCTTTCTTTCTTTCTTTCTTTCTTTCTTTCTTTCTTTCTTTCTTTCTTTCTTTCTTTTACACTTTCTTTCTCTCTTTTTCTCTCTCTTTCTTTCTTTCTTTCTTTTTCTTACATTTTCTTTTTCTTTCTTTTTCGTTTTTCTTTCTTTTACTCTTTCTTTCTCTCTCGATTTCTTTCTTTCTTGCTTTCTTTTACTCTTTTCTCTCTCTCTCTCGCTTTCTTTCTGTCTTTCTCTCTCTCGCTTTCTTTCTTTCTTTCTTTCTTTCTTTTTCTTACATTTTCTTTTTCTTTCTTTTTTCGTTTTTCTTTCTTTTACTCTTTCTTTCTCCCTCGATTTCTTTCTTTCTTGCTTTCTTTTACTCTTTTTTCTCTCTCTCGCTTTCTTTCTGTCTTTCTCTCTCTCGCTTTCTTTGTTTCTTTGTTTGTTTCTTTCTTTCTCTTGGTTGTTTGTTTTTTGTTTCTTTGTTTCTTTCTTTCATTTCGGGTCGTTCATTTTGTTGCATTTCGCGAATGTTTTTAATTACTTCTGTTTACTAATCGTTTATTTTTCTTTGTCTTTCCTTTAATTCTTTTCTTTTTTGTTTGCTTGTCTGAACAACTAATAACCACAATTTTTCATTTTTGCTTGTTTATATAATTTCTTTCTTTCTTCTCAGATTTCATCTTCATATATCTATTCTTTCAATCTTCATATATCTATTCTTTCATTCTTCTTATACCTATTCTATTATTCTTCTTATACCTATTCTTTCATTCTTATACCTATTCTTTCATTCTTTTTATACATATTCTTTCAATCTTCTTATATCTATTCTATTATTCTTCTTATACCTATTCTCTCATTTTTATTATACCTATTCTTTCATTCTACTCTTCGTCCAAGTTTTCTTTTCTTTTCTCTCTTTTCCCTTCTGTCCAAGCTGTTAATATATTACAAATACTAACACATACACACACGCATGCACATATACATATACACGCAAACACACATATACACGCATGCATGCGCGCACACATACATACACGGATGAATGCATGCATACACACAAATGTCACTCACTTACATATCTGAAATTCTGCTCATTACTTTGCTTCGAACACAGGAGTCTTGCATCGGGGTAAATTAATTTACCCATTACTGTTCTTAATTACCATTCTTACAAAATATATTTCTACATATTTTTGACAAAACGCAGCCGGCGAAGTTCAGTCAAATTATATCGCTTGCTTCAAATCTCGCCACAAATCTCGTTCTCATCTCGCTTCTTCTCTCCCATCTCCATGTTTATTCCTGGCCCGCTCACTGCAATCACCGAGCCGAACTGACACTTCCATAAGTCGGAGTAAATCCGGTCGGCAGCTTATTCGATCCAACTCTCTTCTCATTTGCCGCCCTTACACTATTCCCCTGGACGTGGACAGCTCATCTCTTGCTAAATCTCTCATCGAATCGTATTTAATCTACGCTGCTTTTACGGTGGATGACAGGGCGGATTCTAAAGTTATTTCACTGTGTAAGAAAGATGGCGACAAGTTTGAACAAGTAAAGAAAGGTAGAGGCATAAAATGAAAGAAAGAAAAGTGACAGTTTCAGAGAAAGGTGAAAAGAACATGGATATGAGTGTGCGTTAGTGTGTTTGTGTGTATTTATGTATAAAGATAAAGAAATGCTGTGAGTTGACCTAAAATCTTGATAAAATGCTTATATATGAATGTGTTTCAGAAAATGGTAGTTACACATTGCATGCCTAGAGTATGAGCATTTTTACCTTGACATAAACAGTGACCTCGTGCGGCAATGCGAAATGCAAAACACCCATGCGCACTAAGCCGTTATCAGTACAGCTTATGAGGGAGAATAACGTTTAGTTTCAAGAAACACCCACGATGGATACACAGCAATCTATCTATCTATCTATCTATCTATCTATCTATCTATCTATCTATGTACGAAGATGTATCAATAAGTGGGGTCTGATAGAGTTATCGAAATTTTGATCTATAATTTTAATTGAATGGGTCATAATTCTGGTCGACAATTTTTGACAAGCTGACTACTTCACAAATAAAATGTGCCGTTTCTTATGCATTTTGTCATGCCGAATTAAAAAATTATCTTCAAATTAGATTATATAGATTCAAAGATATTTATTCTGTTATTATCCTCAAGAATGGATGTCCCCAAGAAAAACAAATTTGCTTTGCAAAATATGCTTTAACATTCCGTTTTTCTAGGCTACCATGGAAATAGAAAACACGTTGTGCGCCTGCGTGTGTGTATGTGTGTATAGATAGACAGACAGACAGACAGTGAGATAGATAGATACGAACTGACTGAGATAGACAAATAGATATGAATAGATTGTGATAGATATGAACAGATTTACATACATATATATATATATATATATATATATATATATATATATATATATATATATATATATATATAAAAACGTGCAATCAATTTACAAATTCATGAATTATTCACACAAAAACAAATGCAAAGGTTAATGATTTATAGAATAGATGTTGTTCTTGTTTTTTCTCTTAGAAATAAGAGGACAACGAAAATATATGTATTGTTGTATCCGAAAATGCTGCTATTGGAAATGAGTTATTGTCTTTGAGCGCGCAGTAGCAACGCTGAGTTTGATTTTAAATTTTTTAAAGTTGTGCGTTTATGTACAAATATGGTGATGAACGAATTTTTTACTGGTAAATTTTCTGTCAAAGTGGCATGAACTATATTGTTCAATAATTACAGTAATGTCGCACTTATTATCCAAAAGTCGCACTTGGATCAGTTATTTTAATTACGATAAACGTGCAATCAATTTACAAATTCATGAATTATTCACACAAAAACAAATGCAAAGGTTAATGATTTAATTGGCGAGCATTTTCGGATACAACAATACATATATTTTCGTTATCCTCTTATTACTAAGAGAAAAAACAAGAACAACATCTATTCTATACCTGAAGATGTCTGTAGGAACAGACGAAAGCTTGTAGTAAAAAAAAGAACTAATACGGCAGAAATTTATAGAAACAAGGATCTTTTCATTCATAACGGATTCGGAGGTTTTTGTATATTATTTGAATTGTTTGCGACGATGGATTTCTCGCCAATTAAATCATTAACCTTTGCATTTGTTTTTGTGTGAATAATTCATGAATATATATATATATATATATATATATATATATAGATAGATAGATAGATAGATAGATAGATCACAGAGACTGAGATGCATATGAATAGACAGACAGACGGACAGACAGATAGATAGATAGATAGATAGATAGATAGATCACAGAGACTGAGATACATATGAATAGACAGACAGACGGACAGATAGATAGATAGATAGATAGATAGATAGGAATGCTGAAAATTTTCCCTCCAAAATTCTCATGTTTCAATTTTGTTAAGATGGTTTGAACCTTCTCATTCATATATATATATATATATATATATATATATATATATATATATATATATATATATATATATATAATAGGTAGCAAAAGTATTTAACTCATCGGTTTTTTATAAATTTCACAATAAAAAATTGTTAAATTTAAATGATGAACATTGTCTAACTAAACATAAAAGAAAATTGAGAAACATTGTTTTTATGTACTTTTATTTGCAATTTTAGAATTTAACTGTGTGCAAATGTATGAAACACGATATTTAGTAGCATATCCTCTGTTCTGCCTTACAATCTCTAGACGTTCTTTGTAGTTTCATGTCTACTTATTTTATACTGACCCCTTCCAATTGCCTAATAAGTTTCTTGATGTTAAGTTGAAGCACATCAAGGAAGGTGTCGTAGTTTTTTCTAACCCAAATACTTCCGATCTTCCAAGATCATCTTCAGGAGTAAATTACGAATACAAACTTATTGTAACTGTGATAATGTCTGCATTCCATTGTGATGGTGAATTTTAAAAACACGCGCGAGCGCGCTCTGTAATTATTTAAAAAATATTAAATTTCAAATTGGTAACGGAAGTTTTTGCAAAACAAACATTTCCTTGATGCATTTCATCTTAACTAAACTGATTAAACAACAGGAAAGGATCAGTATAAACATAAATAGACACAATATGTCTATGTTATTCGATAAAACATGTTTGAAAGAAGATATACTGCATATGTGTGTGCGTGTGTGTGTGTAATTCAACATGTAAATAAACGCTACATAAATGCAATCATGTTTCGATGTGTAGCAACACTAGTTAGTAGAAAATCTATTAAAATTTAAAACCAAATACAATCTCTTTTCACGCGAAAAAAAGAGTAAGAAAGAAAGGCACAAGATACATTGTCTTTTCAGAGAAAAGGAAGAATAAGAAAAAAGTAGGAAAGGATAGGGAGGAGAGAGCAGTAAAATTTGTTTTGTTTATATTCAGATCCACCAATCAAAATGGTCTATGCTAAGTAAGAGGTCATGACCCCAGATCTAAAATCGTTTTCCACAGTCCACTTGAGCTCAACACCAGAAGATTGCTTCGCGCTAGAGGTGTGAGATAGTATTTATAATTATTAATATATATATATAGATAGATAGATAGATAGATAGATAGATAGAGAGAGAGAGAGAGAGAGAGAGAGAGAGAGAGAGAGAGGTAAAAATCCGGGATAAGTAATCCAAGTAGATCCTAATAATGTAAAATATTAAAATTGATCCACAAAAGAGAGCTCAATATATCTATTATAGACTTCCTGTCCATTCTTTTCAAACTAACTTAGTTTTCTTTTGTCTCTGCTTTCATGCCATTTCCCTTATTTGTTGTTTGTTCCTCTTCTTTCTTTTTCTTTTTTCTTTTTCCCTTCTCCTTTCCTTCCTTCTTTAATTCATATTAAAAAAAAAAGAAAAAAAAAAAGGGAAAAACGTTAAAATTCATTTTTTTAACAAAGGTTTTTGCATTAACAAGACCCAGGGAGAATATCCCGGGGTGGATGGCCATCTGAATGGGATAATAGTGTTTCATTTTATGTATTCATATATATATATATATATATATATATATATATATATATATATATATATATATATATATATATATATATATATTCTCTGCATTGAGCACTGTTTCGTTAACACCTGCACTCTATGTGCGATATGTTGTAATTTTATTGCCATATATCCATATGTCTCTCTCTGTCTCTGTCTCTCTCTCCCTCTCTCTCTCTCTATATATATATATATATACGCACTCGGATCCAAGAATATTTCTACTCATTAGTCTTTAGAATAATTTAATTTATAACCATTCCCGCCTATCCAATAATCATTAATATAACACAATAAACCCAATAAACTTGAACTTGCTGCACATAATGCCCCAATGACTAGCAATTCGTTCTTGGTTAGACTTGGGATTTTTCAGTACTTCCTGATATATATATATATATATATATATATATATATATATATATATATATATATATATGTGTGTGTGTGTGTGTGTGTGTGTGTGTGTGTGTGTGTGTGTGTGTGCCTTTTCATACTCTTGTCTGCTTAACATGTACTCATGCATGTATGCCGACGTTGGGATTTGAAAAATCAACGAGTTTCTGCACTTTATCGGGGAGCACGTAGAGTCCATATCCTTAATTATTCACTGAGCTTCTCACGCTGAAAATCGAACCAGCTGATTTCCGTTGAAAGAGCCCAGAGTCTATCACGATCCATTAACTCAAAATCGCTGTCACATTAAAAGCGAAACGCTTCATTACACCACAGCTGTAGCCGCCATGCCCTTTGCAGTTGTTGCCTTCGCGATAACAGTCGGCCCCTTCCACGGGTAGATATCCTGCAGAATACACGCTCACGTGTGTTTATCTATTTTGAATGAGTTTCGTTTAAAATTTCAATTCGTCAGAAACAAATGCTACTCATTGCCTGACGTAATCAGTTAAATAGAAATATTTTTATTTATTATACCAAGATTATCTAAATTATGAAAAAAATCAAACATTCTAAAACGTTCAAGTTACTAAATAAAATATAAATGAATAAATAATAAAAAAATTATGAAACGATACTTGTTGAATCTAATCGGTTGAGTTATAAATAATTTCCATTTTTTGTTTATCAATTTTAACCTTCGATAATAAATTTTATTCGATAATAATATATTCACCCTTACTTGCATCGATTTGATACTTACATATGGGATATTTGTTCGATATCTTCCGAATCAAATTTCATAGGTTTTGGCGTGAAAATGTTTTCATCGAGTTTCTGAATTTGGTTTTAATTAGAGAAAATATTTTCCTCATTAATGCGTTTTGAAGCGATCCAAATAGGTAATAATCGGTTGGAGCAAAATCAAGTGAATATGGCAGGTGGAATAGAACAAACTAACCGTGTTCCCAGATGTTCTCTTGTTTTATTCTTGTTGCATTCGGTGTTGCGCTGCCATAGAGGAGAACAGGATTCTTCTTATTGACGAACGCAAGGCAGTTTTAGACCAAACTCTTGTAAAACGCGATGCAGTTGCTGGACGTATACATAATTTTTAACTGTGTGTTAAGAACTCTAAATGAATAATACACCGATGATCCCTCTACACGCACAATATGCTATGGAGCTCATTTTTGGGGGGTTAGTTGTGGCGATATAACCTTGCCGTATAAGGTAAAAATTATCATATGTTAGTATTCTGCAAATTTTCTTTTAACTGCCACCATTAGCAGTTAGGGTGAAACATTTGTCATTAGAACTAGTCCCCCAAACGGAAAATAATATCTGAAACTGATGTATAACTATGATTGAAAAGAATCTATTTGATCGTAATATAAAATTTTTATGAACGTAATGTAAAATTTACCTGATTGTAATGTAAAATATAATGACATGATATTTATAAAATTAATCTGATTGTATTATAAAATTTATATGCACGTAATGTGAATATATGATCATAATATAAAATTCATATGGTC